CGACCTAAGGGTCTGATCCACGAGACAGTGGAGCAACGTCAGGAGATACAGTCCCATGGTAGTCAGTGACAAACGATTGGTCCATGCGCCATTTGTTCCCTCAGGATACTGGACCCCATGTGCACTATTGGTTTGAAATCAAGGTTTCCCTACTCCCCTAGGTGGACTCTTCGTGTCCACCAACCCGTTTGAAGCATCGGACATTTGCTTTTCGTCCTCTCAATTTCGTAAACAACAGTAATGCCGCGAAAAGGTAGTGTGTAGGACTTCCCTGACAGTGGTTGTTCACATGTGGCCATGTGAGAGCATTTCGAGAGAGAGTGGAAGCTCCCCACTATCGGTCGTACTAGGTCATTAGGGGAGTGGCAATCACGCGCATTTATCATTTGGCCAATTTCTGACTGGTTCAATGTACCATTTTTCAATTTTGACAAATCAGATTAGGTTCTTGGATTTAGGTGGTGTTAAGATGGGAGCATATTCTCCTCATCCTGTTGATTTTCCTAATCATTCATTACCAAGTATAAGTATATTTTTAAAGAAGATAATTGAATTCGTTCAATATATCACTTTATTGCTGTATACAAATAGTCAATATACAGTATTAATAGAAATCTTAAAAGGAAAGTGATATGCTTCTAGAAAAATAATGTTTACAATCTTAAAAATAAAAGAAAGTAGGCATAAAATATTACATTATATTATAGTCAGATTCTGGTAGACAGATACGCTTTTTTATACTTTGCCAAATCCATGATGCAGATAATTGAAAACAATTCTGAAAGTAAAGAAGTAAACAACAATAATAAAAAATCTGGTCATTTAAATATGATGCTTTTAAGTAATCTATCAACATATCTTTGAATCAAACAAGTCATTTATTGATATATAAAATAGGTATGAGTCTAAGTCAGTCAGTCAGTAACAGCGTAGAACTTCGTACGTACGTACATCAGTTCGAGTTGCCATATCATATTATCTCAGAGATTCAGTTGTTGAGGTAGTAAGAGTATAAGCAGTAGTCGGAAAGACTAGGGATTGAAGATGCTATTCAAGGAGTATAATCCAGTGAAATAAATTTGGAGAGAGAAGGAAAATTTGGGAGAACACAAAGAGTAGATGCACCTGCTCTATTGCAAACGATTTTGGGTCATGTCGTTCAAGGTCTCTAATAATCGATTGCTATCGTCTCGCGGATCCCAACCAGGCAGTTTACACCTACCAACATGACTCAGTCCACTTGTCAGTGACTTCATGGACTTGTGCCATGTTTTGGTCTGGCCGCCCCTAGCTTTCTTCCAATCTACTCCTATACAACAAAACATCGCACATCAAGGCAGTCGGTGGTTCGGCATACGTAACACATGTCCCAGCCATCTCAACTGATGAAGTTTCACTATGTCATCAATTGATTTGCCATCCTTACCTAGTATCCGTTTCCTAACAACTGCATTACTTACTCGATGGACCCAGGATATACGAGCAATATTTCGAAGACACCTATGGTCAAATACTAGTAACCTACGAATATCCTCCACTCTTACCGGTCATGTTTCACTGCCATAAAGTAGTACGGAACGAACTGCTGCACAGTAAACACGTCCTTTGGTTGATAGACGGATATCTCGCCTACGCCATAAATGATGCAAGTTGGTAAAAGCTAGTCGAGCCTTCTGTATCCGTGCTGAGATTTCGTCACATACCAGACCATAAGGGCTCATGAGACTTCTAAGATAAGTGAAGCGGTCGACACGTTCAACTACTTCACTCTCTATCATTGGCTCGGGTGTCAATGCAACCCAATTCTGAAGCAACATTTTGCATTTCGGGGGAGAGAATCGCATTCCTAACATGCTTGCATTTTGTCAGCGTCCTCACCAAATAGAACTGTGTCATCGGTATATTCTAAGTTAGCAAGTGGAACTCCTGGTAGAAGTTCAATCCCTGGAAATTCAGATGAGGAAAGTGTTATCTCGAAAAGCACGTCTACAATAAAGTTAAACAAGGATGGAGAGAGTGGATAGCCCTGACGAACACCACTTGAGGTAATCAATTTTGAGTGAGTCTAAGTACAGTATATGTAACCTGTTTGGTAAATAGTGCAGATTGAAATCTAGAAGGATTTATATTACAAAATTTGATGTGTATGTGAGTGTACATCGTATTTCCTTTCAATGTACTCTTTATTCATGACAAAACATTTGATCTCTAGTCTCGTTATAAACATCCCTCGAATTTGCCAGAATTCAGATGAGATATCGTATTGGCAGAACAATTGTTCATTACCAGTGGTGACTCTTTTAAGGGAACCGACGAATTAAGTAGGACCATTTTATTCTACACAATGTGTCTTTTTCAACTTTTGGTCAAAAGTCGACAACGTTGGATGACATTTATACACATCTTCCTTAATTTTAGATGTTTTGCTAGACAATTATATGGGTAAATGACTCCCGAATTCAGTTTATCAATAATCAGTAAATTATACGAAAGATCAGAGAGCCCAAGCGACCATATGTCTGATGGTTGACCATAAATAGTAATTATGAAGTTGATGTATTAATTAGACAGACTATCCATGTAAAACTCCCGGTTATGAATTCATTTATTTATTCATTCAAACACATAAACATTGGTACAAGGAGGCACTAAATAGATATGCACCACATAAATCATTCGATTTGTGTGAGGGCTTGGATACTGATAGCGTGCCCAGACCGGAGCGAGTGATTTTATTAGGGAGCCACATCCGGCCTAGTCCACGAGACAGTGGAGCAACGTCAGGAGATACAGTCCCATGGTAGTCAGTGACCGATGATTGGTTCGTGCGCCATTTGTTCCCTCAGGATACTGGACCCCATGTGCACTATTGGTTTGGAATCAGGGTTTTCCTACTCCCCTAGGTGGACTCTTCGTGTCCGCCAGCCCGGTTAAAGCATTGGACATTTGCTTTTCGTCCTCTCAATTTCGTAAACAACAATAATGCCGCAAGATGGTAGTGTGTAGGACTTCCCTGACAGTGAATGTATGCACGTGGCCATGTGAGAGCAATTCGAGAGAGAGTGGACTCTCCCCACTCTCGGCCGTACCAGGTCATTTGGGGGCAAAGTGCCTACCGCACCCGGATGGGCTCGAACCACCAACCTTTCGGTTAACAGCCGAATGTAACAAATGTAACTGTCGTATAAAAAGCACTTACCTCTTTATCGATCGGTTTCATCCTCTGGTTTAATTTACCTGTGTAAATAATATGCGTCACAGATGACTCTAGGTTGGATACTACAACACCATCATAAGTAAACTAGATTCATCAATAACAATATTGAATTAAGGGAAGATGAAAGCTATATTCATCGTTAAAAAGTAGAATGACATTGTATTACTTGTTCGTTTAAAAAAAGAGGCTAATATTTGGTCAGTCAAAGATGGATAGTGACCAGTAGTGTATTCCAGGACGCGCGTTATGTCCTATTTGGGACTCATCAGCTGAGTGATTATGAAATGTTAAAATTTTCCGGTTTAAACACAAACTAAGGTTTATTTTCTAACATCAGTGGTGTTCAGTAATGAATTTCAAATACTCTCTGTTGGGATAAGCAACGACTCAGTCATTATTTCGATACAAATTACAGTTACAAGTTTGATTGTGTTTTTGAAATGTGAATACAATTAATTTACGAGGTGCATTTCATCTTAACTGAGACTCATGAGTTGAATGTACCCGGCGATTATACTAAAACTGGCAATCAGCACCTATCGCTTAAAAGGCGTCCTAAACTTCACTGCTAACTACAATCAAGAAATATAATCTAGAATTTTCACGGAAAGATGACAGTTGAATTGTATAAGCATTTTACCTTAGACTAGAGGGGAACTATAATTCAGTAGTTTTAACTGAATCCGATATCATCTAAGGAAATTCACATAGACAGACAGTATTACTAGAATTTATGAATAGAGTGTGAGTTAACAGCTTAGTTAAGTGAATAAGTAACTGTTTTCCACCATAATTATACATCTATTTAAAAAAAAAACATTAGTATGAAGGAATTTGTGCACCTAAGCAGTGCACATCTACAACCTCCTCAGAGAGGTTGATTACGAATACAGTGGTCTTGAGTGTTTTTAGAGGTATGAGGGCGGTTATCACTTCCCGGTCGCCCACACCATGGAAAGGTTCTTCTGGAGGTACTGGAAAAAGAAACTGGGTTAGGGGTGGTCTTAATGACCTGAGAGTGTGACCCCAGTGACCAAGGGACAACTGCTTGAGGTCAGCCACGCACTAACTTTTTGCGAGTAGTTTTCGTGTTAGCTCCGTACTTGTTGAGACCTTAACCGCCGGGGACGGATATCCGTGGGATAGGGCGAAGTGTGCATTTTTAGGATCGACCTTTTCTAACCCCACTCCTCGTTGTGGGAAGGCAGTATCACTGTTATGCTAATTGTCCGAAAAACGCACCTCTGTACAGTCAACAGTACGCCTTCGAATTTTGGGTTTGCTGCTTTTAGTCTTGCCGTTCTTCAACAGACCTGTCTGGCATGATAGGACCTTGACGAACGATTATTCCAGCCAGTGTAGCTCGGTTGGTTCATCACGATAGATAAGCCCGACCACCACGTCAAGGTAGCGACAACAGTTGGGACAACTCCCCTAGGATATTGGATCCACTGAGCTGACATCCAATTGGGTAAATGTCTAATTTCAATCAATTCACGATGTTGTATCACCCTCATCCATTACCTATAGTGGATAATTGTCTCACACTCGAAATAGTTGAATTCCACTAGGTTTGATTTTTGGATGTAGGGTCGTGAAGGCTGTCTATCAAGGAATGTTATACTAAGACGAAACAACTATCTATCGTTTCCAGGTTCTCATTCATGATCCAGCAAATGACAGTTCGTGACCGAAACATTATATCACAAGAAAAAGAGCATAATTTTAGTCTTCTCTTAAAGTTAGTTCACACTTATCATTTCGTTTACAATCTAATTTACATTTAAATAATGAACAAATAAAAAGGATATGCAATGATTATTCGTTTTAACTTCTTCACATCACCATCATTGTCATCAACTAGAGAATTGTCAATATAGAATGATTTGCCTGTAAATAAATTATACAAATATTTGGCTGGTTGCATAGTTTCTGTAAAATAAAATAAACAATGATCAAATCATATAAATGTGTATCTAGATGAACAGATTTCTTTTTCAAAAACATTCACTACTATTATGGTGTATGCTACTGATGTCGACAGATATAAGTAGTATATGACACCAATCGAAAGTGAGATGCATGGTGTGGAAACGATGAAAAAAAAAATCAAGTCTAAGACAATTGATTGACATTTTTTTTGCAAACGAAGTATATACTGTATGGTTCTTAGATTTTACAAAGAGATTCTGTAATGTTGTATCGAAATACATTCGCTTGTTCTCACTGGTGTTCTCGTTTAGTATATTTAGTGTCGCTGCCAACCAGAAGATGGAGAGGTTGTTGTTCTGAGGACGCTGTTGTGTTGATCAAGAAAATGAGGACGTCTTTGAACTGTTAGTGGTGAGACTATAATTTATGGACGACCTTTGAGTGACGCTAGACTGACCATGAGAGTGTCAACCTAATAACCGGTACTAAATGAGGGTTTTAAACCTGTGTGAGGAATTAGAATTATGATTTGCGGTTGGTGATTAAGGTTAGGAATTAGATTTACGGGTTTTCATCACGAATTGACATAAGCTATAATGCCAAAACTATTTAGCCAAATGGACGAGTGAATTTCGCGCCAAAATCTGAGACCTGCGATCTTACACGTGATTGATTCGTTCATAAATTATAGTCTCGCCATAATTTACAGATTGATTAAAACAGAATAAAATTATATGAACAGACTGGAAATTGTTGAGTTAACATGCAAAGAAAAACAATAAAAGGATGAGGATAACGGTCGGTTTATGTGTATATTAGTTCAATTTGTCACAATACACTGGGGATAGCAAGATGAAGTCAGAACAAACACTAGAATAGTAGTAGATGTAGTAAGAGTATTGGTGGTAATAGAAACGATTAGGTATTTAAGAGACAATTAGAGAAGAAAATATAAACTAGTTATATAAAAAAGAATTTAGAAACATAGGATTTATGCAAAAACAAAAAATGAATGCACCTAGGCCATTGCGAACGATTTTGAGCCTTCTCATAGTCTCGAAGCATGGGTTGAGATAATTACATGGACGCCAACCAGGTATTCTGCACCAATCTAAGTGGCTAACTCTAATAGTCAGTGACTTTGTTAACTGATGCTATGTATTGGTTTGGACGCTCCTAGATTTCTTGCAACTTGTTCTTACCCTAGTCTTTGTTGTGTGTCAAGACAATCAATGGATGCATGTCCCAACCACATTAATTGATAAAGATTCCGCCCCTCGATAATTGACTTTCTATATTTACTTGGTACTCTGCATCTAACCTCAAAACTGTTAAGGTGATGGTACCAAAATATACAACAAATGGTTTCAAGATGTCTATGATTGAATGCTTACATCAATGCACACAAGCAACTGTGAACATGGATCTGCAAACATTATGTCTAGTTTATAAATGTGAATAAGAAACCCCAATCGATCCCATGATCTGAGGTTAATTGAACAAACAATGCAAAGACATATGGAGATAAGGAAGCCTACAAAGATAACTAGTTGTAAATAAGATCATCAGAACATCTACACATGTAAGATAGTAGTGAAGAACGGTTAGATTTTACAATTATTTGAATGAAACGTTAACTAAGCTAAAGAACAAATGACAAACATTGCAATATCATTAATCTTAGTTAGTTACTTCACTTGAAGCAGAAGTGTATTCACAGTTAAATATAAATTTTTAAGCAACAATAATAAGATCGTATATTGTACATTCAGACAAGAAAACTCTTATCAGTATAAGGTTGTGATCATGAACCGATTGATGTTAGACCACCATTGAAAACCTGAAAGCACTGGACGGCCATTTCGTCCTAGTATAGGACTCATCACCAAAGCGCATCCACGACCCCGCTCACGGGATTCAAACCTAGGCCCTTCAGTCTCGTGCGCGAACGCTTCACCTCTAGACCAATGAGCCGGCATCTAATGGTGTTAATGTCTAACTTCAACTAATCTACGAAATTACGCGACCATCTTTCATTGTACTGGGGTAGATACTTGTCTCTACCCAACATGGATTAGCTCCATTGGTCGCGGCTTCTCACTAGAACTCCGAGAATTGCCTCACGAAGGTAGTCACTAGTGAGTACATGGTAATTATCAGTATAGGGTTGTGGAGATTATTAAATACTATACAATAAAGAAAACAATTTGACTAACCCAGATTTTGGTTAAAATTAATTTTGTTTTCTGAAGAGGAGATTTTTCGTTTCAGAGACTTAAAAGGTTCTATTTCAAAAATAAATAAATAAATAAAGAATAAAATAAACAGCAAATAATAATAACCAGTTTATAATTAGTAATATGAAAAGTGGAAAGAAAAAATCTACTGTCCAATTAAAATCAATATAGTGACAATGGAGATTATAAGTTATCACTGATAAGAAAGTAGAACAGTTGCCAACCCAATCTCACTTGATGGAGAAACTCTGGAAGAGGTGGAAAGTTTCACGTATCTGAGAGGCATCATCGATGAACGTGGAAGATCTGATACAGCCATAAAGGCAAAGATTGGTAAAGCAACGACAGCATTCCTACAGTTGATGAACATATGGAACTCAAAACAACTGTCAACCTAAATCAAAGTTACAATCTTCAATACGAACGTCAAGATAGTACTAATATACGGAGCTGAAACTAAGAGAACCACTACAACCATCATCAAAAAGGTACAAGCATTTGTAAACAGTTGTCTACTTAAGATACTCAATATCGCTTCGTCGTATACCATCAGCAACAACCTACTATGGAAGAGAACAAACCAATTTTCGGTTGAAGAGAAAATTAGTAAAAAACAATCGGGGTGGATAGAACATACGTTGTGGAAATCATCAAACTGCATCATCAGGTAAGCGCTTACTTGGAATCCTGAAGGGAAACGGAAAAGAAGAAGACCATAGAACACACTACGTCGGGATGAATAGCAACTGGAAAGGATTGCCCAGGACAAATTTCGATAGAGAATGCTGGTAGACCGCCCTATGTTCCACCATGAGGTGTAGTAGGTGTAAGTAAGTAAGTTGTGTTTTTGGTAACCTTCCATCTGTATCTTGAACTAGTCTGATTTTGATAAACTATCATCGTTCAGTTAATAATCCACGTAAGTTGCAACTCTTTCTGATGGGAAAATAATTGTCAACAAGTTTTTGACATGATGCAGATGTGAAGGCGCGGATCGGCAAAGCAAGAGCAGCATATTTACAACTGAAGAACATCTGGAACTCAAAACAAGTATCTGTCAACCAACAACCAAGGTCAGAATTCTCAATGTAAATGTCAAGACAGTTCTACTGTATGGGGCGGAAACTTGGAGAACTACGAAAGACATCATCCACAACATACAAGTGTTTATTAACAGCTGTCTACGCAAAATACTTCGGATCTGTTGACCAGACACTATCAGCAACAACCTATTGCGGGAGAGAACAAACCAGATTCCAGTGCAGGAAACCAGGAAGAAGCGTTGGATATGATACACATTAAGGAGAGCACCCAACTGCGTCACAAGACAAGCCCTCACTTGGAATCCTCAATACCAAAGGAGAAGAGGAAGACCAAAGAAAACATTACGCCGAGAAATGGAGACATACATGAGAAAAATGAACAACAATTGGATAGAACTAGAAAGGAAGGCCCAGGACAGAGTGGGTTAGAGAATGTTGGTCGGTAGCCTATGCTCCATTGGGAATAACAGGAGTAAGTAAGTAACTAATATTGTCAAATCATGCTAGAAATGACCTTATTCCTTAACTCATTAAACATGTACCTCCACTAATTTATTATTTTTCATTGTATCTAAAAATGTAAAATGTTCATGTAATGATCAACTATAAAACACTTAAAATGATGAAATATATTAACCTTTAGTTGATGTAGACGAACATGAAACAGTAGATGTTGTACAGGAATCAGATGAATGTTGATTATCTGCATTAACTGGACGATAATAATATCTTTAATTATATATATGTATATATAGATAGTATATAAAACTAGTTAAGAAATATAGATTACAACACATATGTTAACATTATAATTTAGGAAATTAATCTGACCAATTATTGATAGAATGTTTCTAACGAATTAATCGATTTTGTTGTGTTACTAAGTGACTATATCAAAGCAAATTGATAGTATATATTTTTCTTAAAAATCCTCACAGACAGTGAGATCGCTTACAGTTATCATTAGTCTATATATACTTAACTCCGTTATACCTCCCAAATGCCCTAGTATGACCGAGAGTGGGGAGAATCAGCTCTCCCTCTCAAAATCCTCTCATATGGACACGTGAATACTACCACTGCTGTCAGGGAAGTCCTACTCACTGCCGTCTCAAAGCATTACTGTTGTTTACGAAATTGAGAGGATGGAAAGCGAATGTTCGACGCTTTAGACGGGTTGGTGAATATGGAGGATCCATTTAGGGGAGTTAGAAAATCCCCATTCAAAACCAATGGTGCACATGCGCTCCAGAATCCTGAAGGAACAAATGGCATGTGAACCTACTGTTGATCGCCAGCTATCATTTAACGTTGCTCCACTGCCTTATGGATTAGACCGTTAGGTCAAAGGCTCCAGATGTGACCCTCTAGGAAAACCACTTGCTTCGGTTTGAGAGCCCTGTCAGTATCCCAGCCCCCACACACAAATTGGATGACTTATTGTGTGGCACTCATGCATTTTGTTGTCCCTTTGTACCAATGTTTATGTGTTTAAATAAATAAATAAGAATTTAATGGCAATGTAAGCAGATAATTACAATAACAAAGAAAAAGGATACACATATACTGAAATATGATGATGATCAACAAGATGTTTTCTTAATAATCTTTCAATTTTATACCATGTAAATGCTTGAGTTCCATGCCCTAATCGGGGAATATGAACAGAGCCTGCAAAATAAAAAAAAATCTAAAATATTGTTAAATGTGTCATCGATATTTAAGGTATTTTTAAGTACAGTCAGTCAGTCAGCTACAAATTCCATACCCCATTAGCACAACAAGATGAACACCGGATTCAATTGACTCATGGTCTCAACTATTGAAATTACTATAATATCCACAAAACCCCCTTCTGATACGAGTTAGAAAGCTTAAAATAAAGAATGATAAGTTGGAGATGAGATTAAATCTTATTGGGAAACGAAATGAGTATATGGTAGATCACTCGAAATGATTTGGTTTTGCCAACTATATGACCATTGTTAATCAAATGTGCTAAGATAGAGTCAAGTCTCGTTTTCGTCGGGCCCTTTTTAAGTCACTCAGGGAGATGTTCACTCATTAGAAAGCAATACGCAGCTCTATCTTGGGCAAACCTGGTTTACGGTGGTCATTTAGAATGATCTGTCGTATATCTTCATCGTTTTCCAATTAGATTCAAACTGGTCTCCTACATATTGCATAAGCTGTAGTGGCTCGAACCTGTAACGCTAGTTCATTTGTTCAAAAGGAACGATAAATGCTGACAAATCACATGATGTATTATTCAATAATTATTGGAAAAACATTATCCACCGGCTTACATAGAATAGATGGAATATGGATGTAAGTGGAGTCTAGTAAGCGTTTTTCGTCCTAATTGGGACTCGCCACATTCCATTTAAACTTGGGAAAGAATGGCTATTATCAAGGCAATCCGCACAGGACATTTATTTCGTCTTATTTGAGATCTGTCAGTTGTTCATAATGTTTGTGACTTAGGGCAATATCGTGGCAATCTGCACAGGATGCATATACCAATATCAGACTGATTAATTGCAGTCCTAAATAACAATAGGAAGATTCAAACAAACAATATAAAAATGAATTAAAACTTCACCCCAATGCACAAGCTAGTTTCTATCAGGACACAGTAGCTATGTGGATAAAGTGATGACATTTGAAGCGAACGTTACTGAGTTTGAGTCCCGGAGTGAATACCAAATCTGAGATGAAAGTACATCCAGTTGACTAGTTTCAATGAGAACGAAACGCGATTCCCAGATTTCACTGCTAGCCATTATACATCTTTGCTAAAAATAGTGTTATGTTATAACATCTCGGTGATAAAATATTAAAAAAAAACTTAGCTCTTATTATCTGGACACGAAATAAAATGGTTAATAATCTACAAATTCAATCCTTCATTATGACTTACACAATTTCAAACGTGCACAAGCCATTCCAAGAGCACATAAACTTTTTTCTAATGCATTTAGTTGTAAATCTGGAGCTTCACCAGTTGAATACGTTTTACTGGAATGTTTTTGAGCAATTAACAGGCCAGAAAAATTATTTGACCAATGATTATGGACAATCGGTTTAGTGCTATCACCATCACTATTATCATTATTGTTATGATGGTTGGTTAAATAGTCATTAAAAGTCTACAAATGTGTTATGAAATGAAGATAAACAAGATTAGAGGAAATTAGACAATTAAATTAGACTAACACTGTATTATCGACAGATAGTTGGTCTGCCTAACCATAATTAGATTCAATAAATACACAAACTAAAAGTTACAAAAATTTAGTTAATCAAATTTGGCTAGTATTTTTTTCATCTGTTTAGATTGCTCAGGAAGTTTATCTAAATGCCTGCATCAACACCTGAACTAAGAATAGGGAGTGAAGTAGTCGAAAGCGTTGACAACTTCACTCATCTTGGAATACGCAGATGACATAGTCCTCTTCTTGGTGAAGACGCTGATAAAATGCAGAGTCTTTTGGTAGCACTGAGCAACAACGCCAGAATATTTGGAATGCGTTTCTCGCCCTCTAAATGCAAGTTGTTGCTTCAGGACTGGTCTGCGTCTACACCTGTACTAAGGATAGGGAGTGAAGTAGTCGAACGCGTTGACAACTTCACTTATCTTGTAAGTCTGGTCAGCCCTAGTGGGTTGGTATCGGACGAAATCTCAGCACAGATTCGAAAAGCTTGTTTGACTTTTGCCAACTTACTTCACCTATGGCAAAGGCGAAATGTCCGTCTATCAATAAAAGGACGAGTATACTGCACGGCAGTTCGTTCTGTTCTACTTAACGGCAGTGAAACGTGGCCATCAACAGTAGAAGATAGTCGTAAGCTACTAGTATTTGACCACAGATGCCTTAGAAATATTGCTGGCGTCTGTTGGGATCACCGCGTAAGTAATAGTGAGGTTAGACGTAGGGTATCAGGGAATGATGATGTTAAGTCAGCTGATAAAATTGTGAATCTTCATCAACTGAGATGGTTGGGCCATGTGTTACGTATGCCTGAACATCGATTATCATGACGCGCAATGCTCATTAGTGTTGGAGATGGTTGGAAGAGAGTTAGGGGTGGCCAAACCAAAACGTGGCATCAGTCAGTGAAGTCACTAACTTCTAATCTGAGCCATGTTGGTAGATGCAGACTACTTGGTTGGGGTCCGCGTGACTATCGTAACCAATGGTTGGAGACTTTGGGTGACATGGCTCAGAATCGATCACAATGGCGTAGGTGCATACACTCCCTGTCCTCCCTTAAACTAAGAGATTAATATCGCCCCATATCTTTCTTTCTACGAACTAATTCTTTCTTCCTGTACTATATCCTTATATGCAATATTTCTTTTATATATTACCACTATTGAACTAACTAATTCTATGAATCCGATGTTCATCTTGTTGTGCTAATGAGGTATGGCAACTTGGACCGATGCACATATGTGCCTGGTCCTAAGTTGTAGCTGACTGTTGACCCTGGAATTCTTCAGAATGCCAACTTCATGGCTAACTCTTATTCATTTCATTTTTTATGACCCATATATTTGTCCCATGATTGTTTTGTACTTTCAGAGAAAGAAAAGGAAATTGCAAGGACCTCCAATTTAGTGGTGGACCTAAGGAAACGATAAAATGTGCTAGAAACCCGTGAACAATCATTGATGAATATGTAGACACGTTTTAGAGACGCAGCATTGCACAAACATGGTCCTACACGAATATTCACGAGCTTGGAAACCTTCACGTAGACGAAAGAGCATTTACAGTATGCTTATTCAGGTTGTTAGATTGGTTATGTTCATAACTGAGAAACACTAATTGATAAGTTTGCATTTTTATTGAAAAGAACGCATCTATCTATCTATACATAAATATATATAATTACTTCGATGGCTCTAGAGGTTTGCTGATAACTGTGTAGTTTAAGATGCATGATATTCTAACTCAGGTAGCAGAATTTTTTGATGGAAGTGCGGCGTATGCAGCTAATGAGAGGAAAACAGACAAGAATCTAAGAGTATAGATTTCTAGTAGTATCATATTCAATAATCTAACAAATCGATCCGCATAATTCATTGTAGCAAGTATAGATAGTAGGCGATAACGATGAAATCACAGTTCTACTTTGCACTAAACTTCGTCATATTTGTACAAACACCAGTTAGTTTATCACTAAAATGTATTTTGTACAACCTAATTCCATCACTACTGTTTCGAGAATGTTATTAATAGCGGAGTTAGAGAGGAATGGTGAGATTAGACAACCTTGCCTAATCCTACAAGTAGAGGTGGTTGTATGCCTTTATTCTGCCTGAAGTGTTTATGCACAGAAACTTCAAAATGTTAATACGCTTCTCAGACATTCTTTTCTTTAACAAACAATCTAAGAGCACAATTTTATTGAATGCATCTAACGTAACCTCGATGTCAGATGAACCACAACTATTGTTAGCTTGAAACAAGTGTGGCGGTGATCCAGTATTTGGTAAAGGTTGAAGTAATGATCAACACTAATCCACGAATTGAATGAAAACCAGCCTAGTAATTGCGAATTAGCGTTTCATAGCTTTTGAACAATCTGAAGAGTATGACAGAAATAAAATGAATATGCACTTCATCTTCTTACTTTAATTTCTTTTTTTGTTGATGATAAAGATGATGAATTGTCAGGATTCTCAATCGGAACAATTAAACAATCACCTAAATTTAAATCATCCATTTGACCAGCTAATTCATATGCATCTTTGATTTGATTATTACTACGTTTATCAAGAGCTCGAAATATTCCACCATGACTCCAATGACCACTGTTATCTGTAAAAAGAAACGTATAAATTGAAGGGAATTTCACAAATGAGATTGGAAAATTACGATAGATAGAATGATATAACCTGTGAATTGATATGTTCAACAAATAAGCAACGAAAAAGTAACCTAACAAAATTAGAGATCTTGTTCACTGTCAACTAATCCTAACTCCGCCCGTAACCCCGCTCTGGGGCTACTGCAGGTCCCAAGCCCGGACAAAGGAGGAGGGATGGGCATGAAATTAGCGATCCCATCCTGTAGAAAACTAACTCGCTAAAAAACGCTGACCAGAAAAAATTATTCAAGCCATTTAAACTCTACCCTGGGAGTTAGAAGGTCTTCATTTAGAAGAGTTATGACGCCTAATGATGAAAGCCGAGTTCCTTCGGAAGTCACGATGATGATGCCCCTTCTGACAACCAGAGCAACCATTTATTTAGGTACGTGGAATGCTCGTATAATGTGGGACACTGAGAGTCTTTCAAATTGCTGCAGAAATGAGATGCAACCTGGAGGTGCTTGGAATCATTGGAATCAGTCAACTAATTCTCATTTGTGGCAACAAACTTGACCTATCTCTATTTCTCTTGTTTAAATCATTTCTAGAGGTCTTTAAAAGTTAGGCAATTCAGGTATCTCGTTATTTTGCGCTTTATCACCTTATGTTGTACATATAAAGCAATGGTTCGGTACTATCGACGTTTTTGGATAATTTTTTTCAGGCTTAGTTTATTAGCATCGATGTTGGTAGTTTGTCAGTTATTGGAAAAAAAGAAGTGACTACTGATATCAACACTAGAAGTTTATGGTCTCATGGGAGGGTCGCTGGATTCAAAGTCCAAAGTACGGTCGCGACCATGGTCTCATACAAACAACAATCCTAGTAATTCAGTCTGTCATGTAAATGTTTTTGAAAAAAACATCATCGTTGATGATATTCAAGCCAACCAATCGGCAATCAATAGACATATCAGCATAAACCTTATCAACCAATCTATATTTAAAAAACTGATCAATAACACAGGAAAGGGTGAATTAAGTATGTCAGTCAATGAAAATACAAAGAAAAATATAATTAATAAAAACCTGGGAAAACACACAACCATTTATGGAAAAAAACCCATCAGAACAGGCTGATTTGGAGTGTTTGGAATGATTAAACAGCTTTGTTATAATTTGTACCATGTGTCCTATTAACATATAGCGTAATGATACCGCCAATTAGAGAACAGTGATTTATCGACCGGATCAATGACGCATAAAACAGGTACGAGCAGTCTGCAGACCTTATCGGTCCTTCTTACCGCCAGGCCCTGACTGTTAAATCCAAAACACCAATCTCAGTTTCTGCGATATGAATCATGTATTTCAAACATACTGGGGTTTATATACCAACCAGACAGACCACATCGTACCATAAAAATGGGAAACAACATTTATACAAGATATAGCCAAATATGGCTGTGAATGAGGGAGGTGGTAATCAATAGACTGGGCATAACTCAACAATGGTAAATCGCATAACAATAGTCTCTGGGTCAAAATAAAGCTTATGATAAGAGGGACACGAATATCAATAGTTGGATTACTTAACAATTATACGATAAATATATATGTACAGTTTTTGTCCAGAAATAGATTCCAACAATTACCATTCATTATTCTCATCGGGATATTAAAAGCATACTTTCCAATAACGTTATCCAGAACGATAATGAAAGATAAGCAATTAAACAAATGAGCTCACCTCAGATACATTATCTTTCACATTATTTTCCAAAATAAATTTATGTTGTATTATGTTGGGGATGTTAGATCGCCAGAACTTACTTGATAAATACCTTATTTTTTGTAATTTTATTTTAAAAATTTGAATTTCTTGTTTCCGCGCCAAAAGCGCTCATTTTCACCTTCATGTTGCACTTTCCACTTCGGAGGATCTTAAGCGCTATTGGTTCGTTGTATCTTTTTAGTATGCTATTTTGTAACGCTTCCCAAGGACAATTTATTGCTGTATATATCCGTTTGATTTATGCCTGTTGTTATTGCTTATGCTTCTGGCTGCTTACGGAATATATTTCCCCGTTCGAACTTGGACTTCTCTCTCTAGTTAGGGTGCTGGAATGTGTCAGAATAGCTAGCTTCTTGTCACTGTGTCACAGAATCCTCGTTCCGTTCTCAAGTTAGGTGAACTCGTAATCGCTTCAAATATAGCATGTTTAAGTTTATTATTAAGAAGTTAGAAAGCATCAGTGATCTCTGAAAAGATATTAAACTTACCAATAGTAGTACATACAAAATATGGTGGTGTACCATCAATTTTATTTGCAGCTTTCATTAATGAGAAAATACTAAGTGGCTCAGAGGCATCACCAATTTTATAGTAGATTCCAGCATCAGTTCCATATGGAAACTCTTCACTTGCCATGTTATTTCTTATTTCATCTCGGAAGTCATTATCATTATCAAGTACATTCTCGAATTGATCCCTATGATTAGGATGTGGATAATGATTTACTTTAGCTATAGTTGATTCATCTCGGAACACACTGAATGTTTTATAGCCAACAGATTGCCACAAGGAAAGTCTAAAATACAAATTAGATGAATGACAATTAAATTTGAACATAAATTGAATAAACTGTCCTAATGTAATGTATACTACTTATGTCTTTCAAGATAAGTAGTATGTAACACCAATCAGAAGTGGGATGTATGTCAACAGAAGGTCAAGAAGATCGAGTTGAAGAAAACAAAAAGAAGAATAGGAAGGTATTATCATTATTTATTTATTAATTTTGGAGATATAAATATTGGCACAAGAAGGCACCAAATATATATGCGCCACACAAAACAATGAGAATTCGAAGAGAAAAAAAGGTAAGGAGCGTAAAAAAGAACAATAACGAACAGATTAGTGTAAGGTTGTGTAATAGTAATAATGGGGGAAACGAAAAAGTACAATCAGAAAAATTCAAAGTTGCAAAGCACATACCGTACCTACGGACAATTATTGCCAACCAAGTGCGGATTGCTTGACTTGGGTATTATCGCACAGTAAGACAATATCATCCACATACTCAAGGTCGAGAAGTCTTTCTCCAGGCAACAGATCCACACCAACATTACTTACAACCATCAGAGTTGTTTCCAGAATGTCGTCGATGGCAAAGGTAAAGAGGAATGGTGAGATTGGGCAACCCTGCCTAACCCCACTGCTCGGATGGAACAATGGAGAGAGGTGATTATATGCCCTCACTCTGCCTGAGGTGTTTTTATATAGGGCTTTTAGGATGTTAATGATAGCATCGTTACATACTATGTTTAAGACCAATTTTTGTACCAAAGACTGAAAACATATCGCATAACTGATGAAGTAATGGGAATTATAAAATATACACACTATAAACTATAAACAAATAACCCGACCGTTGTTGCTACCTTGATGTGGTTGCTGGGCTTACCTATCGTGATGAACCAGTCGAGCTACACTGGTTGGAACAACCATCCCTCAAGGTCCTACCATGCCAGACAAATCGGTTGAAGAACGGTAAGACTAAAAGCAGCAGACCGAAAATTCAGACAACCAGCATAACAGCGATGATGCCTTCCCACAACGAGGGGTGGGGTTAGAGAAGGTCAACCCTAAAAATACACACTTCGCCTTATCCCACGGATATCCGTCTCCGATGGTAAGGTCTCAACAAGTACGGAGCTAACACGAAAATTGCTTGCAGAAAGTTAGTGTGTGACCGACCTCAAGCAGTTATCCCTTGGGCACTGGGGTCACGCTCTCAGGTCACTAAGACTACCCCTAACCCAATTTCTTTTTCCGATACCTCCAGAAGAATCCTTTCACTGTGTGGGCAACCGGGAAATGATAACCGCCCCCAAGACCACTGATGAACAAATAATGTATAAAATATCCTTTTTACTACAAAAAGACCTAGCTTACTTTCTTTCTAAACGTTCAGCGCTCCGAATCGCTTCATTTTCTTTTCGTTTATATTCACGTTTAGCTTTATTCTCAGCAGCCTAATTGTAAATTTTAAAATACAACAAATACATACGTTAAGTATAGATTAATAAATGCACATAATATATCCAATAAATATATGAAACGAACTACTAAGGATGTTAGTTATAGACATATCTAAACACTTTGGAAATTCATTAACTGTTGAATGTGGTTTTTCAAGATAACTCGATCGTTTATGTTGCCAGGATGATTGCTGACGCAGTGTATTTGTGGTTAGGGCACCCGGGGCAGTATCACATTCCTCACATAAAATGAATGATTTATGTGGAACATATCTATTTGGTGCCTCCTTGTACCATCGTTTACGTGTATTTGTGGAAATTATCTGTGCACACAAATCTAACAAAATATTAAACTAATAAGAATGTAGTCATAGGATGTACTGAGCTCGATTTATTTTCTGGACAACAATTTTGTTAAGTATGAAGAAACATGATTGAATTTGAAAGAAAATCTGAGCAGATGTTGGATTTGAACAAACAACCTCTGAGTCTTATTTATTTGAACATATAAATATAGGTACAAAGGGGCACCGAATACATATGCGCCACACAAGTCACTTGATTTGTGTGTGAGCTGTGATAGTGCCCGGCGGACACACCTAGAGACACTAACTTAAAGGTCTGATCCACAAAGAAGTAGAGCAACATCAGTAGATGTAGTTCCATTGTAGCTAGTGATCAACGATTGATTCATACGCCATTTATTCCCTCAGGATACTGGAGCCCATTTGCACCATTAGTTTGGAATCAGGGTTTTCCAGCTCTCCTAGGTGGGCTCTCCGTGTCCACCAACCCGGTTAAAGCGTCGGATATTCGCTTTTCATCATCTCAATTTCGTAAACAACACTCCCATCACGAGAAGGCAGTAAGTAGGACTTCATTGGCAGTGGCTATATACGCGTGGCCATGTGAGAGAGGATTACGAGAGGGAGGGCTGACTCTCCTCTCTCTCGGCCGTACCAGGGCATTCAGGGGCAACCTCTGAGTTACTAGCTCTAGTTCTCCTACAACCTTAATTATAAATATCATCAACTCGAATTTGAAGCTTGTTAAATAGTGTTGTCTAAGATATTTTCAAGTAATAATAACGATAATAATAAAACTAGTAAATGATACCTTTTTATTACGAGCTTCAATTTCTTCTGGTGTTAACTTTTTGCGATGCTTATTCAATTTGGTGAAAGTAGAATTCGATACACTAAATCCTGTAATATTTTCTGATGCAAGCAATTCATCATCTTCAACGCTTAATTTAGATTTGGTTAATTCATAGTCTAAAACAATAAAAAGTAATAATGAAATTGCTGTATTCAATATAGGTATTTTCCATATAGTTAACTTTGAACTACAATCTATGTGGTTTAAATCACAAAGTGGTTATAGTTAGACCACTATTAAAAACTGGAAAGCATTGGACAGCTGTTCTTTTTCACAGAACGGGGCTCTTCAACAACGATCCTCCACGGTCCTACCACAGGGGATGGAACTCAGGACATCCGATCTTGTGTGCAAACGCTTGGCTTCTAGAAAACTGAGTTGGTATTCAATAGTGTAAATAAACACACATGAGAGGTCTTGAGTTCAACCCCCTATAATGGAGTCATGAATAGGCATTGCTGAAGAGTCCTCTACTAAGACGAATCAACTGTTCAGTGTTTCTTGGTTCCTAATGATGGTCTAACTAAAATCAGTTAGTGATATAAACTACGAAGATTTAATCATCTCCACAAAACTCACTACAGTAATCACACTTTATTGTGAAGAAAGGATACTCAGGTGGTAACTACAAGCAAAGTATGTGAAACCAAGTACAAATTGATGCCATCATAATGGTTGTACACTGAATGCTTTAACGACTAAGTTATTATAACAATGCGGATCAAAGCTTATCCCTTCAACTGTTAGACTTAGGACTCGTCAGCTAAATGAACTTCTATCACAGAATAAGACTGATCGAATTTCAGTCAATGGAATAATCCAAACCATAACAAATTAACATCTAATATTTTTTTGTTATTAAACGAGACAATCGATCAGGAAAAATTTAACGTGATTACGTCATAACTCTAATTCATTACCTTGTTGCAACTTTTTAACTGCTTCTTGATCAGCTTCACTAGGTTCACAGTGAAACGGTTCATTTGTGAGTAGCACCCAACCACAAGAATTTATCTGTTCTTCTAAGGTGCCATTATTTATGGTTGATGGAGGAACTGGTAACCAGTGTCCTGTTTCATGATCTGTTTCACCAAGTATTTGAGTAAAATTCAGATTAACTTTCTTGTCATCCTCATCATTGTTGCCAACATCGTTATCAGTTGTCTTGAGTAGTTTAGCCAATCCAAATTTAAGAACATTATTCAACTGTGGTAATCAAAAAGTGAAATGAACTGTAAGACAATAACAAGGGTATTTTATATATAAATACACTTTTAAAAAATTATTCATACTGTAGAAGACTTATTCGTCAACCAATGCCAGAGAAGTCCTACTCACTAACTTCTCGCGGCATTACTATTGTTTACGGAATAGAGAGGATGAAAAGCGAATATCCGACGATTTAACCGGGTTGGTGGACACGGACAGTCCACCTAGGAGTGTTGGAAAACCCTCATTCCAAACAATGATGCATTTTGGCTCCAGTATCTTAGAGGAACAAATGGTGTATGAACCAATTGTTGGTCAATGGCTACCATGGGACTGCATCTCCTCACGTTGCTCCACTACCTTGTGGATTAGACCTTTAGGTGAAAAGCTCCGAATGGCCCCTTAAGAAAACCACCTGTTTCGGTTTGGGCACCCAGGCAGCATCCAATCCCTCACATAAATCGAATGATTTATGTGGCGCCTCCTTGTACCAATGTTTATTTGTTTAAATAAATAAATAATCACCAATACATCTAAGAATCGGAACATTGGATAAATTCACAAATCTCATTGAAATATAAATAAAGACTGTACAAAAATCCAGAATTGTGATGAGATGGATTTCTATGAATTCGCTAATTGATCACTCAGTGATAAACAATGTCATATTTTTTTAAATCTTCAATTCTGATCGAATGCTATTCAGGTCCAACAGATGATTAGTCGTTAACCGAATGGACCATTGTTAACGTTTACGATGAGAGATAGTAGTTCTCTCAAGATTAGAGCTATAATTTAATGACGAGTGACAAATAGTATTAAACCTAAGTGATATGAAGCTACCTACTTATTGCCTTCAACTCCCCTAACATCGAAATACATTTATGATTTCCTGAGATATTGGCTAATTTTGATTTTTAACAGAAAAAAAAAATGAAAATCAGGAAAATGGGAAATAAAAGGATTTTATCAGCTCAAAATACATTACATTTGGAGATACACTTCGTCATGCACTAACATTCAACTGGAGAACTAATTAATACCAGAAAAGATTTTGTGGATATCATAGTAATTTTTTAATAGTTGAGATCATGAGTCAATTGAAGTTAGACCGTCATAGAAAACCTGGAAGCACTAGACGGCCGTTTCATCTTATAGTGGGACTTCTCAGCAGTGTGTATCCACGAGCCCGCCTTGCGAGATTCGAACCCAGGTCTTATCGGTCTCGTGCGCACGAACACTTAACCTCTAGATCACTGAGTCAGCATCAGACAGTATAGGAAATAGCTTTACTGTCTCAGTTGTTTCTGGTTATTCAGTTTAATTTCTATCTGTGACAGAGACCATTATCATCAAATTGACTTATTAAGCAAAAGTTAACACATACACACACACTCATTTTCTTGAAAAAATAAACAGAACTGTTATAATCTTAAATTACTCTCATTATAAATTATGTTTACCTCATCGAATGTGAACGGTTTATCAGTTTTATTTTCTAGATTTTTTAAATCTGTCGTATTTAATACACGAGTTGCTAATTTTAATTTGGTTTCTGCACGAGATAATATTGCTTCTTCAACAGTATGCCGGCAAACAAGTCTTATTATTCGAACTGGCCTAATAAAAAACAAAAAAGAAGAAAAAGAAATAACATTTTCATTTGAATAATCCTCTTTGATATAAGTTAAGGAGGAATTTACAAATGACTGACCTTTTAAAGTCAGTCAGTCAGTAACAACGTAGAACATCGTACGTACGTACATCAGTTCAAGTTGCTATACCACATTAGCACAGTGATACAATTGTCAATTCAAATCCCATAATGGTAGAGGTAGTAAAATTATAAGCAGTAATCGGAAAGACTAGTTTTAATTTGTGGTTAGTGAGAATCAGTCAGTTATACATCATGTAAAATCTGATATATGTGTACACTGGTTTGAGTTGCCATAGCAAATCAGCACAGAGAAATGAAGTGGTCAAAACAAATAACAAAGTTGTAACGGGATTAAAATCATCATGTATGACGTTGTTAATAGATTTTGTTTTCTTTCTATTGCAGGGCAAGCAAGAATAAACGCTTTAGAAGAAGAAGAGCAAGCCCTGCACGCACTAAACTTACATGATGACTCATAAGACCGTTTGTAAACTAGCTCCCCTTTCTGTACAGGACCCCGCGAATTTTAATTTTAAAAATAAACGTCTATTGGCCTCCGTTCCTCGTTCTCTCTGTGGTGTAAAGTGTTCAGTTAACATTGTGTGTGTTGTGGCTTTAGGTCTTCCCGTCTTCCAGTGACTGCTGATTACACGTGTTACAATTGGTGTCGGAGGTGAGATGGAAAAACGCGATGAGAACCTAGACGAACCCCCTTTGATTCCAATCAGGGCTACTTCCAGTTCAACCCCGCATCAACCACCACTGCTCGAAACATCATCAGATTACTCCGTTTGGAAGTTTAAAGTCACAGCGTACCTGCAGAGAGTTCCATTATCCGAGCATTTCAACTACCTTGTTTCCTATCTGAGTGATGATGCAGTACGCAGGGTTATAGCGAACGGGTTTGCGGCCAGTAACACGCTCCCACAAAACTGGAGAATTTTGGACGACTGTTTTTCCCTGCCCGTGGACACCCAGCAAATGACAATTCAGTTTTTATCACGCCACCAGAAAGCGAGTGAGAGTCCAGTAGACTACCTTCATTCCCTACAGCAAGTTGCGGTACAAGCATTTCCCCGGTTGGATATGATGGGACGAGAGGAACTAATTCGCTCACGTTTTGTCGAGGGCCTGTTACCCGGACCACTCAGAGAACACTTCCTTCGAAATCCACCAACGGATACGTCTGACGTAAAGAGAACAACATTACGCTTTCTGGCCGCTGACAAACTAGTGAATGTATCCAATGCACATTCATCATCGGTAATGACTGTGGAACGAGCCACAAAATCTAGTGGTCCGGACACCTGCCAGGCTACAATAGCTGTGACCGACCTTCCCGGCCGAGGTGCTATCCGCGGACAGCCAAATTTGAGATGGAACAAACAACCAGCATGGAGAAATTACAATGGGCGCCAAGCCGACTGTATATATTGCAAAAGGTTTGGCAAGAACGCCAAAAGATGCGGTCACAACCGCCCCCGGAAACCAGGTAAGCAGTGTCGTTTACATATATCGTCTTGCTATGTTAAGCATTTGTGCCCTGTTACTATTAAGGGTAGAGTGCAAAGTACTGAGATTAATATACTATTAGATACAGGAGCTTCAGTATCCTTGATCAAGGAAGACCTCTTGCAGAAACTTAACCTCAGCACCCAGCGTAAACAACGCTCTTCTACGTTAATTACCGCGAGCGGAGAACCCTTGAAAGCGTGTTCTCAGATAGGGTTAGAGCTGACGATTGACAAGAAGCCTTTTCAACATGAATTCTGGGTTTGCCCCACACTGACTTGGAACATGATTCTCGGGGTCGACTTCATGTTAAAATACCAGGTCTCTATACACATGAATAAGTCAGAAGCGAGTATTGGTGGAGTTGTCGTACAAATACAACACCATGAAATACCAACTAAGTCCGTAGCCCAGGTGGGAACTGCAGAGATTGTACGTCAGGTACGAGATAACCAATTAATAAGTGAAAAGGACCGTCGGGCTACCATTGACGTACTCCAACGATTTAGCACTGTTTTCTCGGAGAACATCTCTGGAAATCGGACAACCATTGTGCAACATTCCATTGTCACAGGTGACCACATGCCATTACGCCAGCCACCTCGTAGGGTCCCGGTGCATTATCAGCCTCATTTAGAATCTATGATAAAAGATATGTTAGAAAAAAAGATTATTGTACCATCTTCGTCACCCTGGGCATCGCCAATTGTCTTAGTAAAAAAGAAGGACTCCTCCCTACGACTGTGTGTAGATTACCGGCGCCTTAATGCTATAACTAAGCGTGATTCCTTTCCACTTCCACGGATAGACGCTACCTTAGATGCCATGAAAGGTGCTCGCTGGTTCTCAACGCTAGACTTAGCATCCGGGTATTGGCAAGTGGAAGTCCGACCCCAAGATAGAAAAAAAACTGCATTTGTAGTGCCTAATGGCTTATATGAATTTCAAGTAATGCCTTTCGGGCTAACTAACGCCCCAGCTACCTTTCAACGATTGATGCAGACAGTTCTGCAAGGTCTCGTACCGCACCAGTGCTTAATCTACCTTGACGATATTATTGTATATGGCAACACGCCAGAACAACATAATGCCAATTTGAAGGCAGTCCTACAACGTATTAAGCAGCATAACCTAAAAGTGAAACCATCTAAATGTCGACTAATGCAAAAAGAAGTGCTTTTCTTAGGGCACCGCATTACAGAAGATGGAGTGGCAACAGATAAAGAAAAGACACGTGTGATTGTTAATTGGCCACAACCAAAATCACCTGAAGACGTTCGTAGCTTCCTTGGACTAGTTTCTTACTATAGACGCTTCGTACGTGATTTCGCATCATTAGCAGCACCTTTACACCGATTAACCCACAAAGGACGAAAATTTTTATGGACCAGCGAGTGTCAACAGGCGTTCGATGCTTTGAAGGCTCGATTAACTTCTCCACCTATATTAGCCTTCCCAGATACTTCAGCAGACGGAGGCGAATTTATACTCGATACGGATGCTAGTTCCTCGGCTATTGGAGCAGTTTTATCACAAGTAGCTCGAGATGGACACGAAAGGGTCATTGCGTATGCTAGTCGACGATTAGATAAGACTGAAGCACGATATTCTACAACACGTCGGGAGATGTTAGCACTAGTAAAATTCTTACAACATTTTCGCCATTATCTGTTGGGCAAACCCTTTCGTGTGCGCACGGATCACCGTGCACTGCAGTGGCTCCGTTCTTTCCGCGAACCAGAAGGGCAAGTGGCACGCTGGCAGGAGAGACTACAAGAGTTCGATTTCACATGCGAGTATCGCCCAGGAAATCGACATGCAAACGCGGATGCACTCTCCCGAATACCCCAGACCACAGATATTATTAACGCAATTCTTAGTACAGCTCCAGAGACAGACTGGCCCTCCCTACAAGCAGCAGATCCAGACTTACAGATTGTTTATCAAAGACAGCTACATGGAAATAGTAAGCCATCCATGAGGGAGCTTAAAGATCAATCCGTAACAACTCGTCGTATCTGCACCAAATGGGGTAACTTCAAGCTATATGGTGACACATTATTCCTAATGAATGAATCAAAACAACCCCTACTGATAGTACCGCGAGTGAAAGTTGAGAGTATTGTGGAACAGGTACACCGCGAACTTGGTCATGCGGGAGAACGGAGAACGGAACACGCTGTCCGTCAACGCTTTTGGTGGCCTTCTATACACGAAGATGTAGCTCAGTTTTGCAAGAATTGTAACACGTGCTGCCGTTTTAAATCGCCTCAGCAGACACCCCGTGCACCAATGACGCCGATGGTAACGACAGGACCACACCAGCGAGTTGGTATAGACATCATGGGACCACTAACTACGACAAAAAACGGGAACCGCTACATACTGGTTATGGTGGACTATTTCACTAAATGGTGCGAAGCTGTACCCCTTCCACAGCAGGACGCCCCTACTGTTGCCCGAGCTTTCATCGATCACTGGGTCTCCCGTTATGGTGCCCCTGTCTCACTCCACTCCGACCAAGGTCCAGCCTTTGAAAGCCACCTCATTACCGAGATATGCCGGCTATTAGGAATCAAGAAGACACACACCACTGCCTATCACCCAGAAGGTAACGGCCTCGTAGAAAGAACAAACAGAACTATTAAAGCCATCTTGCAGTCGTTTGTCAGCAGATCGTCACCGGAGTTATGGGATGAGGTGCTTCCCCAATGCCTTTTAGCATATCGTACGTCGGTACATGGGTCCACGGGATTCTCGCCTGCTATTTTGCTGTTCGGGCACGAACTACGCCTACCAGTAGAGATACAGTCACCCCTGCTGCCCTACGAAGAACAAGAGCATGTTCCGTACATACGTACTCTTCGCAACCGACTAGCTGATGCCTACCGTCTGGTCAACATTAACTTAGGCAAGGCCAGTGGACACCAAAAAGATATATATGATCGTCAAGCACAAGGACCTAGGTATACGGTTGGAGATCGCGTCTGGTTACGCCGCCCAATGACGTCGCTAGGGGGTTGCAGTAAATTCCATCAACCCTGGCAAGGCCCCTTTGAAATTGTCCTCATCCGATCGCCCACCACGTTTGTATTGCGTAACATACAACGACCTAAAGACGATGTGATAACGGTGCACTACAACCAGATAAAACCCGATCGGACAACATTTCCCTTCGATGCTCAACTCGCTGATCCACCGCCGGCCACTAGATTTTACGAAGTACCACCTGAAGGAGGGACAGCATACCCGTGCCCAAGATCAGGCACTGAGGACAGTGCCTCATTAGGAGAGGGGGCGATGTAACGGGATTAAAATCATCATGTATGACGTTGTTAATAGATTTTGTTTTCTTTCTATTGCAGGGCAAGCAAGAATAAACGCTTTAGAAGAAGAAGAGCAAGCCCTGCACGCACTAAACTTACATGATGACTCATAAGACCGTTTGTAAACTAGCTCCCCTTTCTGTACAGGACCCCGCGAATTTTAATTTTAAAAATAAACGTCTATTGGCCTCCGTTCCTCGTTCTCTCTGTGGTGTAAAGTGTTCAGTTAACATTGTGTGTGTTGTGGCTTTAGGTTTTCCCGTCTTCCAGTGACTGCTGATTACACGTGTTACAAAGTGATAGATGTAGTAATAGTATTAGTATTAATAGAAAAGATTAGGCATTTAAGATATAATTAGAGAAGAAAATCTCAATTCTTTATGAAGGAGAATACACGAAGTTACTAGTTATTGGTTATCATGCCAATCTCAACCAGGTAGTCTGGATCTACCAGTAGTAATTGTCTTCATGAACTGATAACATGTCTTGGTTTGGTCGTCCCTAACCTTCTTCCAATCTACTTTTACATCAGACATCATCGTGCATCCAGATAATTGGTGGATGAACATACTTGATACATGTCGCAAACATGTCGGTCGATAAAGATTCCCTACATCATCAATCGATTTACTTAGTACTATGAGTCTAACCTCAGAATCACAATCTCAATGCTCCAAAAAAGTATACAAACAGTGGTTCGAAAATATCTATGAAGGAATATCCTCTACTTTTAAAGGCCATGTTTCATATGTATAAAGTAGAATGGAACGGACTGTTGTATAGTAAAATAGTTCTTTAGTTCGGAAATAGATATCGTATCTACGATACAAGTGACGCAAGTTGGCAATAATCAATCGGGTTTTCTAAATTTCGTCAGACACCAACCATCCTTCAAAAGTGATGACACTTCTAATATAAACTGAAGCGTTTCGAAGAGAATTGGTTATTTTATAGAAAGCTTTAAATCTGTATAATTTCAAGATAAGTTACAATCCTTTTTTTACGTACAGTGTCAGTAAGATGATAAGTTTTCAATGATATTCTTAGGAAAATTATTATTCTTTTTACATAATTAATACTTACTTGGTCTGACCAATACGATGAGCACGCCCAGCGGCTTGTACATCGATTTGTGGATTAAAATCATTATCAACAAAGATAACAGTATCAGCAGAGACAAGATTCAAACCCTGACCACCTGAGAAATAAAAGAAGGTTCAAATATATTGGTTTGATAGATCATGATGAGTTATATATTCATACTCATATCCACTTCCTGATAACAATTGTTCAATGAACTTTGTTTCAAATGATCAATAGGCTGAATAAATTTACACATTCTCAAAATTTTAATTAAACTTCTCGTGTGCTGTTACGGATATGTGATATGGCAACTTGAACTGATGTACGTAAGCACGATGTTCTACGTTGTTGCTGACTTACTGATGTGTGGGCGAGAATGATAATGATTGGTTGTCTGCTTAATCAGACAAGTAGATGGTCTGACAGGTGTTAGATGTGTTATATATTCCCATATCCTTATCATTATTGCCCCCAAATGCCCTGGTACAGCCGAGAGTGGGGAGAGTAAGCTGTCCCTCTCAAAATTCTCTTATATGGCCACGCGTATTTAGCCTTTTTCAGGGAAGCCTTACTCACTACCTTCTCGCGGCACTACTATTGTTTACGAAATTGAGAGGATGATAAGAGAATATCCGACGTTTTAACCGGGTTGGTGGACACGATGAGTTCACTTAGAGGAGTTGAAAAACCCTGATCCCAAACCAATGGTGCAAATGGGCTCCAGTATGCTGAAGGAACAAATGGCGTATGAATAATCAATCGTTGGTCAATGGCTACCATGGGACTGCATCTCCTTACGGTGCTTCACTGCCTTGTGGATTAGACCTTTAAGTCGAAAGCTCCGGGTGTGGCCCCCTAAGACAACCACCTGTTTCGGTTTGGGCACCCGGGCAGTAATACATCGCTCACACAAATCAAATGAGATTTGTGTGGCGCATATGTATCTGGTGTCCTCTTGTACCAATATTTATGTGTTGAAATGAATAAATAAATTTTTATTTTTATTTTTATTGATTGTTCATTGTTGTTGGATTATGTCGGGTTTTGGTGTGAAAATATAGTCAGGCTAATCACGTGTTCTTGATCTGAGTTGTGTTGAAGTTCTGTAGAATAACAGACACTGAGAGGGAATCTAGTGTAGATATTCGTCTAAGGTAAATTAACCTCCCATATGTGCAGACGAAGTAAAACTGAGCGTTATAATACTAATGTCAAAGGAGTTACAAATTTTGAATGAGTATATATTTCTACTAGATCATACATTCTCACAAACAAATATCCTATCTTCAGAAAGAGTTAAGTGGAGATTTTTTTAGAAATTTCGACAGTTGAAATCACGAGTCAATTGAAGCCAAACCACCATGGAAAACCCGAAAGTACTGGACGGCCGTTTCGTCTTAGTATGAGACTTCTCATCAGTGCGCATCCAAGATCCCTCACCCCGCGAGATTCGAACCCAAGCCATATCAGTCTCGCGCGTGAGCGCTTAACCATTAGACCACTGAGCCAGACGGCATCCAACGGTGTTAGTGCCTAACTTCAACTAATCCACGAAGTTGCACCACCGTACACCATTGTCTTCAGTGAGTTAGTATCTCACAACAGACCTGGTTGAACTCCAGTGGTCACCGCTTCTCAATAGAACTCTAGGAAATGCCTCCTATTCTATCTAACAATTCTTTATCAGTTTTAATTAAATTATGGTCAATATGAAACAGGAAAAGAAAAGAAAAACATTTTCACCTGCACGAGTACTAAGTAGAAACACAAATGTTTCTTGATCTTCATTAAAACTTTTAACAGCTTGAAAACGATCTTCACCACGTACTGAACCATCTAAACGTTCATAACTATAACCTATGGTAATTAAAAGATAAAAAGGTAGAAAAAGTATCAACTTGAAGATCTTTTTAATCATGTACTGCTGATAATAGTTGAAAAATCATTGTAAACTAGAAATAATTGCGCAAATGGTTACGCTGTATTTACAATTCATCGTAAATACACAGAAATGGAATAAAACTTAAAAATGAGCATATTATCTTTTGGGATTCTTAAGTTAAAGAATGAAATGGTAACTCAAAAGTTAAAGTGTTTGATATTTAGCTAATAAGTAACAGGTTCGAACTCTGTATTACCTACTTCAGCTTCGGCTATCGCTTAATATTGCTAACTCTGATAATAAGAGTGTAACTAGAAGTGAAATACTAATTTAAAGAATCAGTGAACTGATGTAGTTATTGGTTAGTTGGAAATTATGTTCAGAGAGGAGTTTTGTGGAGATTGTAGTAATTTATTAATTGAATTCATGAGTCAATCTCATGGATCAGTTGGAGTTATACATTAACACTGTTGGATGCCGGTCGGCTCAGTGGTCTCAAGGTTAAACATTCGCGCACGAGACCGATAGGTCATGGGTTCGAATCTCATGAGGCGGGATTGTGGATGCACACTACCAAGGAGGAGTCCCGCAATAGAACGAGACGACCGTCCAGTACTTTCAGATTTTTCATGGTGGTCTAGCTTTAGTTGACTCATGAATTCAATTATTAAATTGAAATTATGTGTTGTTTTTTATTAGTCGAATGTGTTTCGTATTTTGAAAGAAACAATGGAACTCATCCATTTGATAAAATGTTAGGTACAATTTATGGTCTACACTAGGACTCTCTAATAAAGGACACTGACGAATTTGCGAAGTATGGGACACTTAGACTTTAAGATATCATATGGAGCAAGAATTATCTTTTAGAACATTCCAGTTAGAATTCAATAGTTTACATTCTGTGATGAAAACTATCCTCACAAATCTCATATGATGATAAAAAAAACCAAGTACTTATTAGTGACAAACTCCGAAAATTCTTTGCAGAAGTCGTAGTCGATGGGGTGAAATCACATCATGAGTGAAACACATATCACTAATCAAAATAGATTATGGTCATGTAAAGTTGCAGGTTAAATGAAGTTGGAGATATGAAATCCTAAATGTAAACTTAGTGATCTGAAATATAAAGTAAATACATAAATTATCAGAATGGGTTTTGTGGAGATTTTTAGAAATTTCACTGGTTGAAATCACGAGTCAGTTGAAGCTAGACCACCGTGGAAAACCTGGAAGTACTGGATTGCCGTTTCGGCTTAGTATGGGACTCCTCACCAGTGTGCACCCACGATCCCACACCCCGCGAGATTCGAACCCAGGACCTATCGGTCTCGCGCCAGGCGCTTAACCAACTAGACCAATGAGCCGGCATCCAACGGTTTTAATGTCTAACTTCAAACAATCCACGAAGTTGCGCCACCGTACACCATTGTCTTCAGTGAGTTCCTATCTCAGGTTTTCCATGGTGGTCTAGCTTCAATTAACTCATGATTTCAACCAGTGAAAATACATAAATTTAAATCATTGACCAGGTACATGAGTAGTAGCCAAACCCTGATTAGGATGATCAACGATACTACTCGCTACCCGAAATCGAAGTAGGTAAAACGAGGTTCACAACTAATACTTACTGGCCAAAAATTGGACAACTTAACCACTTTGAAATATAATACAATCGACGCATGATGTGAAGGTATTGGGTTCAACATCTAACTGGATCATAAAAGGATTTCATTGGAAAGTCTTATAAAACAAGTACACATAATAAAACCAATTGAATTTTCTACAATTTCATGTCAATAAACTTGAATGATCATTCACAAATAATAAGAACGTACCTCTTAAAGTCATATAATCTTGTATAATATCAAGCATACGAGTCATTTGAGAAAAGATTAAAACTTTATGTGTAGGTTTTGAATTAGAAGAATAAAATGATTTATCCAAATTAGAATGATTAGGATTATATAGAAATTGTAAAAGAAGATCTAATAGAAAAAGTTTTGAACTGGTTTGAACTAAATGTTCACCAAGTGTGAATGGTTCTGGTTCTATACCTAAATAAATAGAGACAAATATAATAAAATGAACATCAAATTCACATTAAACGATAAATACTAGGAGTAAAGCTCCTATTCATAAGACAACTTTGTCTACGGTTTGAGTTGACATCTCTAGATAGTCTAGAAATATTGCTCGCATCTGCTGGGATCACCGGGTAAGTAATAGTGAGGTTAGACGTAGGGTATTACGGAATGATGATGGTAAATCAGTTGATGAAGTTGTGAGATGGTTGGGCCATGTGTTACGTATGCCTGAACACTGGTTATCACGACGCACAATGCTCACAAGTGTTGGAGATGGTTGGAAGAAAGTTAGGGGTGGCCAAACCAAAACGTGGCATCAGTCAATGAAGTCACTAACTTCTAGTCTGAGCCATGTTGGTAGATGCAGACTACCTGGTTGGGGGTCCACGTGACTATCGTAACCAATGGTTGGAGACTTTGGGTGATATGGCTTAGAATCGATCACAATGGTGTCGGTGTATACACTCTCTGTCTTCTTTTAAACTATGGGATTGAAATCGCTTTATATCTTTCTTCCTGTACTATATCCTTATATGCAATCTTTCTTTTATATATTACTACTACTGAATTAACCACTTCTATGAATCTGGTGTTCATGTTGTTGTGCTAATGAGTTGTGGCAACTTGACCCGATGCACATATGTGTCTGGTCCTAAGTTGTAGCTGACTGACTATAAATAGTCAGGAGTTTAGGAAATCAGAAATAAGTGTTCCAGTAACAGACATCAATAAGATACACAATTTACAACATAAAACTGATGTCAGTATAGGATAATACAAATACAATATATACACGGATCGAAGTCATGAGAAGTTTACTTTAAAAGATTCAGGGTATATTAATTTTAACCTCTTCCTCTTATATTTCACAATACTCAAAATTTGTGGCAGGACACTTTTGAAATTGGAATTGGAAGTCCTCAAAAGTTAAGATTTTCAGCTGTTTTGTTGTTCCACGTTTTATTAACTCTGTACTGTCTAACTTGCTTTTTCCCTCATGATCATTTTGCAGTTTAGGAGAAAAAATAAAATCACATGAGAATGATTTAGATGAGAAAAGAGCATCCTTTAGAGCTGTGATCGCATTACAGATTAAAAACATACAGACAGTCACTAATGACATATATATCAACTCCAGTTGACTTCACTATGTTCATGGAGTAACGATTTATTTTCATATACTAAAATAACTGATCCCCCATAAAACAGGTTATCATCTATAATTGAATGGAATATCTTCGGAATATCTTTTTAGAGCTTCCTCGAGTTCACTCGTGGACGGTCCTCACACACATATTCCTATATTGATTATGGATAATATTTACAGTTAACACTAATATTATTACTACATCTACTATTCTAGGATCAATCTTGACAATTTCATCTCACTCTCTGCTAATAGGATCCTGACAACTTGAACTGATGTGTTATATATGTATCAAATTGTAAGTTGAATACGACCGAATAACTACCTTATGCTTATTTGAGAAAATTGTCATATAATTAGAATCAATCGAGATCATTAACAGTAATATACCATATTGAAAATTACATTGTCAATTTTAATCAAGAATAAAACGGTTAAACTAACCATCAAATAAATATGGATGATTTACACATTTTCTTAAATTCATAATCAAGTTCTGTAAACGATTGTGAATACGTAGATCATTATTATGTTGACCAGTAATAGATTGAAATAAATCTGTAAAACATTAGATAACGTAAAAATTATAAAGTGTACAAATTAATTAAATGAAACAAACACTAAAACATTATAAGTAAAGATAGATAGTGACTAGTAGTGGAATTCATGATGTGCGTTTCGTCCTATTTGGAACTCGTCAACTGGATGTACCTACATCTCTGTGTTGATGTTGACTCTGGGACTCGAAACCAATAACGTTTGCTTCAAATGCTATCGCATTATCCACTTAGCTACTGAGTCCTGATAGTCACTTGCTTGTGCACTTCATCAAGAATCCAAAGAAAGGAGATCGGTGAAAATGTGAGAATCAAAGAGGTATCACACTACTATCGGAACCAGGAAAGGTTTTCAACAGAGTGCTGCTGAACCAGATGAAACATTCAGTAGACGCCCAACTACGAGATCAACAAGCTGGATTCCGTAAGGATCGGTTGTGCACAGACCAAATTGTGACACTACGGATCATCGTTGAACAATCAATTGAATGGAACTCGTCAATATACATCAAATTCATTGATTATGAGAAAGCATTTGACAGTGTGGATAAGAGAACATTATGGGAACTTCTTCGACACTATGGAGTACCTGAGATCTTCAACATCATACGTAATTCTTACAACAGATTACACTGCAAAGTCGTTCATGGAAGACGGCTGATAGTATCGGACAAGGCTGCTTATTCTCTCCCTTTCTCTTTCTTCTGGTGGTCAACTGGATTATGAAGACCTCGATATCTGAGAGGAGACACGGCATACGATAGAGAACACGGAATCAATTAGAAGACTTGGACTTCGCAGATGACCTAGCTCTTCTATCCCATGCACACGAACAAATGCAAGATCCCTAAATACAACACAGAGAACACCAACACAATCACACTTAGTAGATAAGCTATAGAAGTTCTGGAATCTTTCACGTACCTGGACATCATTCATGAACAAGGAGGATATGATGTTCACGTAAAGACGAGGATTGATAAAGAAAAGGCTGCATTCCTACGGTTGATGAACATATGGAACTCAAAACAACTGTCTAACAACCAATATGAAAGTTAGAATATTCAATACGAACGTCAGAACAGCCATACTGTACGGAGCTGATACATTGAGAACTACTACAATCATTACCAAAAAGGTACATGTATCTATAAATAGCTGCAAGATACTCAATATCCGTTGACCGGATACCATCAGCAATAGCCTACTGTGGGAGAGAATAAACCAACTTCCAGTTGAAGAGGAAAGTAAGAAAAGATGTTGGAAGTGGATAGGACACACATTACGGAAATCACCAAACTGCATCACAAGGCAATCGCTAACTTGGAATCCTGAAGGGAAACTAAAAAGAAGAAGATAAAAGAACGCACTGCACCGAGAATTGGAAGCAGACGTGAAAAGGATGAATGGGAATTGGAAAGAACTGAAAATTATTGCCATTACAGAGTTGGATGGAGAGTGCTGATGGACGGCCTATGCACCTCCACGAGGGGTAACAGGTGTAAGTAACAATCGCTTTCAATTTTAGTGCATTTTTTCTCATTTTTGTGTAAACGCTTCCACGTTTTGAGCTCTTGTTCTCAGTTCGATTGTTGACAGTCACTATTGACACTAAACACAGGTATCACAGCCTGTAAATGCCCTGGTACGGTCAAGAATGGGGAGAGTCAGCTCTCTTTCTCCAAACGCTCTCACATGGCCACGTGTATACAGTCATTTCCAGGAAAGTCCTACTCACTACCTTCTCGCAGCATTACTATTGTTTAAGAAATTGAGAGAACGAACAGTGAATGTCTGGAGCTTCAACCGGGTTAATAGAAATGGACAATCCCCTTATGGGAGTTGGAAAACCCTCATTCCAAACAATGATGCATTTTGGCCTCAGTATCCTGAGGGCACAAATAGTGTATGAACCTATTATTGGTCACCGGCTACCATGTCGCCCCAGTCTTGTAGATCAGACCTTTAGGTCGAAACCTTCTGGTGTGACCCCCTAAGAAAACCACCTGCTTCGGTTTTGGCACCCAGGCAGTATCACAGCCCAAATACATATCAAATAACTTGTGTGGCGCCTATGTATTCGGTGCCCCTTTGTACCAATATTTATGTGTTCAAATAAATGAATAAATAAGCAGGTATCAGCTGTCATTCGCTCTATTATACGTTGTAGTCGATCATTCTGCAGGAGTCGATTTCCCTTTCATATATACAGGCTTGTTAACTACTACAGATACCTTATAAATTGAAGTTTGTGATTAATTCACATGAAGTTTGTAAAAAAAAAATAGAACCATCTCCTAGAGAAAATCTTTATTCTTTAAATGTACATTTTCACGTGTATCTCAGAGGTGTTGGTTGAATACTTTGTTAGATTTAACATCAACCAAACAATAACAGTAACAATGACTGCAGGCCTCTTATCATCACTGATGGAAAATTTTGTTGTGAAACATAACTACATAAAGACAACAAACTAACCTGCATTTCGTGTTAATAGGGCCCGATAAATTTGTGTTTGTAAACTAGTTAATGAATGATAGATTAAAATATCTGCACGTGGTGGTAAATCAGTTAAGACATTTTGTTTAATACGCCGTAAAAGGAATGGACGTAGAATTTTTGCCATATCTTGATCTGTTTCATCTTCTTGATATGATAAAAATTAAAAAAAGAATCTAATATAGTAATATACATATACTACTGAATAAATTATAAAGTAGGATAGTATGAATTGAATACCATTGAAGTCAGTGAACAAAACCGAGTTATCATAGTACATTTACGAAGCCTCAAATATGTCTATTTTTGAACAGTGAAATTAGTAGTATGATTTGATTATAGCTTCTACTATATATTTCTTGTTTATTTATTAACCAAAACTTTGTATCTAATTGTTCAAATCGTTGATACTCAGTTAGTGCCAGGTTTTGTGGGGTTAATTCAAATGTTAGTCTGTCTAATAAGTACACAAAGTGAAGTCATAAAAGTTTTATTTTACGGAATCTAAGGTACATCAATCTGATTCCCTTCAAATTACTCCTCATTTGTGAACAATATGCTCTTTGTATCTCTATTTTCTCTTTCTAAAACTTCTATAGAAGTCTTTGAAAATCAGACTTATCGGATGTTGTGTTACTTTATACATCTTTCTGAACCATTGGACCAATAGAATTCAATCATTTCAAATATTAAAAAGGTACCCCCTAAAGACAATGAAAGATGGTCACTTGATATCATAAACTGACCCCTGGTCCAATGATCTAGAGGTTGAGTGTTCGTCATGAGAAGAGGTTTTTGGTTTGATCTTCGACGGTGTGGTCGTGGAAGCATACTACTGATGAATGCCATACTAGGACAAAATAACTGTCCAACCCACCCAGGTTCTTATTGGTTATCGAAATCAGACCGGTTCGTGTTTCCAATAAATTTAAAGTGTTTTATTAGAATGGTTATTATTTATTTATTTGAACACATAAATATTGGTACAAGAAGGCACCAAATATATATGCGCCACACAAAACAATGAGAATTCGAAGAGAAAAAAGGTAAGGAGCGTAAAAAAGAACAATAACGAACAGCTTAGTGTAAGGTTGTGTAATAGTAATAAAACAGTAATAATGAGGGGAACGAAAAAGTACAATCAGAAAAAATCCTTCAGTTAAAGAAGAAACAACCATTTTTTATGAAGAAAGTAAAAGAAGGTTACAGCAGGATCGCCACTGGCTTCTAATCTGAGCCATATCTGATAACGTCTCTAGCCACTGTGTTGCACCATCTCTAGGACCCCAGCCAGCGAGTCGTGAAGGACCAACACAAGCCAGTCCTTTGCAGCTTTCTTTCATACCACCACACCATCTCATACACTGACCATCTCTCCACCTCGCTTTTTCCAACCAGTCCCAGAGTCGGCAAATAATGCACGACGTGGAATCCTCTGGGACGACATTCGTAGAACATGTCCAAGCCACAGAAGTCGTTGTTCCAAGATGGTGGCACCAATTGCATTATCGTCTCTGTGCCCGAACACACGATGCTGAACCTCTGCATTACTGACATGGTGTTGCCACTGCATGTCAGCAATCCTTCGGAGACAGCGATGATCAAACACTGAGAGTCGTCTAACATCCTCAACTCGGAGAGGCCAGGTTTCACAAGCATAGAGCAAAACTGCTCTCACCCCACTCTCGGCCACACCAGGGCATTTGGGGGCAATAGTATACTATCGAACCGACGAGGAACAAAAAAAATTTATAACGCAAATTTCGAATAGTTAAGAGCTAGTGTTAAGGGTTAGATGTTAAAGTTTGATTTCTTATCACGAACTAACATCAACTGTAACGCGCGAGTCTTTGAAAATATATTTTAATCTCAATTCATAGTATGATAGTGTAGTCAATCATTCATTTATTTTTGCTGTCTGCTGATTGACAGGAACGATTAGCACCTCAATGTAGATCATTAGTATAATCTAGGTGTACCGTTAGAATTATGCGCAAAAACAAATTTTTTCAGAATCAAAGAATCTTTCAAATACACAAAAATCAAAGGGTTTGAACGTTATACATATTTTCATAATAATTTTAAGTGCTATGCGCATTTACTGGTAGTCTAAGCAGAGAAGGGTTTTGTGCAGATTGTAGTAATTTAATAATTGAATTCATGAGTCAATTAAAGCCAGATCACTATGAAAAATCTGGAAGTACCGGACGGCCGTTTCGTCCCGTTGCGGGACTCCTCAGCAGTGCACATCGACTCTTCCGCCTCACAAGATTCGAACCCATGACCTATCGGTCTCGCGCGCGCGAACGCTTAGCCTTTAGACTACTGAGCCGGTCGGCATCCAACGGTATTAATGTCTAACTTCAACCAATCCACGAAGTCGCGGCACACGTCCACCATTGTCTTAAGTGAGTTACTATCTCACAACAGACCCAGTTGAACTCCACTGATCACGACTTCTATCTAGAACTCCAGGAAATAACTCTTGAAGACATTCACTAGTGAGCATATGATAGTTTATGTATTTATTAAACAGGTCATGTAATAAGAATAAAATATTGAAATGTTAGTTTTATGTTCAAAATTAAATGAACTAAGCTATTTCTAATCAACGTACTCACTTTTATCTGCATTGCCAAAATGAGTTAAAAATGTAGAACGTAATTTTCCATGGAAATAGTTAGGTGCGACAAAATGCAGTAAATTGAACAACTCTTCTAAGTTATTTTGAACTGGTGTACCAGTTAGTATAAAACGAATTCCTAGACATGTCTAAAAATAAACTACTCATTAAGATTTGCGAAATGTTGATAAAAAGGAGATTAAAAACATATAAAATTTGGTGGGAAAAATGACTCCCCACTCTCAGCCGTATTAGGGCATTCGGAGGCCACTCTAAAATAAATGGGTGTGGTTAGCAGTGGAATCCAGGACGCGCGTTTTGTCTGATTTGAGAATCATCAAATGAATTCGCTTGTATCACCGAGTTAGTATCTACGGTGGGACACGAACCCAATACCTTCCGATTCAAATGCTATCGCGTTATCTAATTAGCTGATGAGCCCAGACAGCCAATCACTATATCGGAACAATCCGAATAGTTTTTAATTTTTACTAACCCTAACATTCGAATCCCTGATTAAACGAGTGAATCCAAGCAACCTAAATAGACGAGACAGGATGCATTTAGCTGCATGATGGTGACTATTTATTTTGCTACCTCATGTTTGTGAACGATGTTAGCATTGATATATCAACAAATACAACATATGAGAAAAAATCAACCTTAATTATATCATACCGACTTAAGGTGATTTTTGTACAGTTAACTTCCTCACTTTCCATGAATTATATTCAATAACTTCGGTAGTATTTAGTTATTTCATTCCCCATCCACTTTTTTGAGTATCTATCATTTTCAGAATCTCGCACTATGTAGCACTATAGCATCGATGAAGAGTGCAACCAACAAGTTTCGATCAAGCGTAATTCAATATTTATAGACAGAAAAAACCCGACCGTTGTTGCTACCTTGATGTGGTGGTCGGGCTGGCCTATCTTGACCAACCAATCGAGCTATACTGGTTGGAAAAATCATCCCTCAAGGTCCTACCATGCCAGACAGGTCGGTTGAAGAACGGTAAGGCTAAAATCAGCAAGCCCAAAATTCGAAGGCGAAGTCGTACTGCTGACTGTACAGAGGTGTGACGGCAGCAAAGTGTTTCCTTCAGACAACTAGCATAACAGCGACGCTGCCTTCCCACAACCAGGGGTGGGGTTAGAAAAGGTCGACCCTAAAAATGCACACCTCGCCTTATCCCACGGATATCCGTCTCCGACGGTAAGGTTTCAACAAGTACGGAGCTAACACGAAAACTACTCGCAAAAGTTAGTGTGTGGCCGACCTCAAGCAGTTGTCCCTTGGTCATTGGGGTCACGCTCTCAGGTTACAAAGATCACCTCTAATTCAATTTCCTTTTCAGGTACCACCAGAAGAACTCTTCTACGGTGTGGGCAACCAGTAAATGATAACCGCCCTCATACCTCTAACAACACTCAAGACCACTGTATTTATAATCAACCTTCCTCTTCAATTCCTATTATTCCTCCTACATCGACTTTCAACTCTAAACTTCCTCTTTTGGCTTCCTCCTCAAGTGTCACCATGGCCAACGATTCTAGTGCGCGAAACACTGTCCCAGGTCTACTGAAACCTCGCTCCAAACTACACATTGGAGCCTTCAACTTACGCACCTTATGTCAAATCGGTCAGCGGGCTTCCTTGGCTAAAACCCAAGGATCTCGTACCATTGATGTATGCTGTGTCTCTGAAACACGCATACAGGATTCCAGTGTGGTTATTCACTTAACCTCATCTCGGCAAAACGGAGAGCCAACGAGATACACCCTGCGTGTATCTGGCGACCCGATGGCTAGTTCTCGTGGACTGGCAGGTGTAGGCGTAGCACTAAGCATGAGGGCGGAACAAGCACTGTTAGAGTGGATTCCCGTTAATGGTCGTTTATGTGCTGTTAGGCTAAACGGCTCCGTAAGAACTCGGAAGGATAGGGACACATGTCGTTGCCTTTTTAGTGATTAGGTTGACTAATATTTTAGCTAAAATCTATGGGTTTTAAGTAATCCTATCTGAACGATCACAATCACTGATTGTCTCAATATATAAGAAAGGGTCAAAATCATCGTGTGATAATCATAGAACGATTAGTTTGACTAATATAGCATCTAAAATATTAGCCTCAATAATTATCGCACACCTAAATAAGACCATCTTAGTGTAATTTTAAAATTAAACTGACTTATATAATCAAATCTCAGTAATGATAATTTGTATTAGAACGTTGTATAATTACTGAAAACCAAAGTAAATAGAATTAGATTTGTACATTGAAATTGAATAGACAAAATTCAATTGTATCAAATTCAATAATCTAATGAATAATTCAACAACATATAAGAAAACTTACCTCATTTAACATTGAATACAATTGAGTATTAGAGTTTTTAAGACGATGCCCTTCATCAATAATGACATAATTCCAATAGAATGTTTTAAAAAATGCTTCATCATTAATACATATCTATTTATCAATATAAATGAAATGAAATATGATACCTCGTAAGTAGTTAACAGGATTTTAATTGATTTGTTATAATTAGATCGTAAGTTAGAACGTGTTACTTTGTCACCGATATAAGTCATGAATGAAATATTAGGAGCAATACTAAAAATTGATGAAATGAAAAAAAGAATCTATACAAACTTTTGAAGTTCACATCTCCAATTTTCTATAACAGAAAGTGGAGATACAATTAAAAAAGTAGCATTAGATTTCCAATTACTGATAGCTAAAATAAAACAAATAACCTTTATATAATTAATAAAATAATTGCAATACAAACCTGACATGTTTTACCTAAACCCATTTCATCACATAATAGTCCACCATGACTTTGTAAATCACAATTTATTAACCAGTTAATTCCTTGTAGTTGATATTCGCGAATGACGATTCCGGTTAAGCCAAATTCCACAAGTTTTTCAAATTCAATAGAGCAGGTAGGGTTGACTAAACTTTCACAAGATTTTATCAAATAGTCCATTGAAAAGCGATATTCTGAAAAATCAAGTAGTAGGTACTGGGACGTGGAATGTACATAAAGTTTACAGAAACATTATTGAACAAATTTCAATTGCACGTCTAAAATCAAAAGGATAAAGACAAGTTACAACCAAACTACACAAAACATTTTATCAATAGATAATAACACAACTTCACCTGTAGTCTTTTCAGAGTTACTACCGATCACAAGCTCAGATAAAAGAGAGCTAGGAATGGGACTAACAACCCTATCCCTTAAAAAACAACCTTGCTAAAAAAACGCCTTCAGATGAAAATCATTTAAACCGTTTAAACTCTTCCCTGGGAATTGAAGGATCTTTAGTTACAAAAATTATGACAACTCATTGTTACATCCGGGATTCTCTGGGCCTATACCGCTTCTACAAACCAGAGACTGGGAAAACCAATAAAAAAGTCACGGAAATGTAGAGATACAACTTAGAGATTCCCGGAATAAATGAGACCCAATGAACGGAAGCTGAACAAAAAAGATTAGATTCGGGAAAGATGCTGATGTACCCTCGTCATGAAGAAAAAATGTTTCGCACACACAAAGACGTGCATTGATGCTGACCAAAGACGCATGAAAAGCACTTATAGAATAAGAATCTCTTGGACTCCGAATCGTCATAACATTCTTGAAAACAATAAGCGTTATTCAGTGTAATGCACATACCAATGATAGCAACGACGATAATAAAGATCAATTTTAAGGGAGAATGCAATCGATCGTATAGAAGTGCCTAGGAAACGACCTGACCACTCTGGTGGGAAACCTAAATACCAAAGTCGGAGTGGACAATTGCGGATATGAAAATATTATGGGAAACATTGACTGGGAGAAAAGAACAAGAATGGCGAAATACTTTCATATCTCTGTGCCTTCAAGATATACAAAAAGCTACGTGGGTCTCACCGCGTCACACTACAGAGGACCACATCGATTATATTGGCATCGCTGAAAAATTCAGAAAGACATTGAAAGATGCGAGAACCAGGAGAGGGGCTGACACATTCAGATCATCACCTGGTGGTTGCCAAGATGAAATTGAAGCCAAAGAAACACTGCACAGTTGGGGAAATAGCAGTACAAAGGTTCGATACAGCTTTCCTACGAGATACCAACAAGCTCAACCAATTCAAGATAACTTTCAACAACAGGTTTCAAGCCTCACAACATCTACTCTAAGAAGAGAAAACTACTATGGAGGATAACTGCAAATGGATCAAAGAAGCACTAACTTCAAAGCGTCAGGAGGTTCTGTGCTACAAGAAGCATCATTATAAGGAATGGATCTCTATGGGAACCTTGGACAAGATTCAAGAAAGGAAGAACATGTAAAAAGCAATTAACAACAGCCAGCCGAACAAGTGCAGAGAAAGTCAAAGCACAGGTCAAATACACCGAAGCAAACAAGCAAGTGAAGAAGAGCATCAGAACCAACAAGTAGAGATAAGCAAGGGACCTAGTAGCGACTGTGAATAAAGCTGAGAGGAAATATGAAACAACTACATGACACAACGAAGAAACTGGCAAGGAAATATAATCAACCAGAGAGACCAGTCATAAACAAAGAAGATGAGACAATCACCGAGACTCAAGAACAGAAGAAAAGATGAGAACACTTCAAGGAACTCTTGGATAGACCTGCTTCATTGGACCGATGTATATACGTGCCTGGTCCTATGTTGTAGCTGACTGACAGATGCATTTCAAGTGAGAGTTGGTATCAGATAAAGATCTTTACTCTCGCCCTTACACTTTCTCCTGGTGTTTGACTGGGTTATAAATACCACCCCCACCACAAGCGAAGTACATTATACAGTGGATAAATTGGATACAGCTAAAAGATTTGGACTTCGCATATGACCTAGTTGTCTAAGCATGGTACTCGACTCCTTGACCGGGTACCATCAGAAACAACCTATTATGGGAGAGAACGAACCAACTCCTATCTGAAAAGAGAATTAGGAAAAGAAGCTGGAGATGGGTGGGACGAATCTAAAGGAAATTATCAAGCTGAATTACGAGGCAAAGCCTAACTTGGAGTCGAAGCAACAGGAAGACCAAAGAACATAATGAGCCAGGAATTGAAAGACGTCAAAATAACGAATAACAACTGGAAACAAATGGGAAGAGACCAGTACATAGTACGTCAGAGATTGTTAGTCGGCAGCATATGCTATATGAGAGGTAACAGGTGTAAGTAAACAATAACACAGCTACGAACCTGAGCCAAAAAAATAGTTCAATCGCTAGTACTAACTAAATCGAGTTTCGTAAGTTAAATAGCAAACGAATCAAAACATGGAAAACAAGAAAAGTGACATTGAGAGTATGAGGAGATTAAAATTAGACTCCATGTTAAATAGTCCCAAATAATTCTACATTGACCAAATAAACACTTAAATTATCAGTGAGAATATAATTTATGGACGACCTTTGAGCGACGCTAAGGTGACCTTGCAAGTGTCTACCTACTTACCTATTAAGAGAGTAAAACATACAGGAGTCTGGAGTACTGGTCGCGAATGGAAGAATGCTGAGACCATTCGCTGTAACAGCCTATCAACAGCAGTAGTTGGGACATGTAGCACTTATGTACAATGACCCACAAACTCGATTACAAGCGGTGGTTTGGGAAAAAGTAGGTTTGAAGAAAAAGACAGGGAGATGAACAAAAACATGGCATATAGCGATGAGACCAGTGATATTTGAGTTGGGAAATATTAGCTGACAATACACGAGACTAGTGACGTATTTGTAGACAATGAGTGACACATTAAGTCCGTTTTATCTTCACTTCCATCTGAACCCCAGGTTTCGGTATTCCATATATAACTATATTTGAAATCACGTGATTTCAAATTTTGATTAAATGCACATTCCTTATAGATAATACATCACCTGTCCCTTCTTTTGCAGATAATTTCAAATAACAATGAATTAGCAATTGCAATGGATATGTAAAACAATCGATGCTTAAGCTTCTGCTCTAATGTTGTACAATAATACGCTTTTCCTTTTAAATAAAATTTCTCAAAAATATACCGGTTTTCCAGTGCATTACAAATTTATTTTGGTCTGTTGTTGAAAATAAAGGCGAACATAGGAGACTTTTGAGGTTACGTCAATGGATCGAAAATAGGTAGTACAGCATGTATTTAGACGAAAAGTAGACAATTCGGCGGATATTTAGGCGAAAAGTGAGTAATTTATCGACAAAACGTCGAAAAAGGGGGAAATCCATATTATTTCCCCCGGGAAGGCGAAAAAGGCGACATTCTGGCACGTTTTGCCCTTTATTTCTCCTTTCTCTACCAAAGCATTTACCCCTTTATTTCCTCTTTGTTCGCCTTTATTTCCCCTTTTTTTGTTGTCTGGGCCTTCGTTTATATAATACATGTATTATATAAACATGGCTGCAGCCATGTTCATAGCGATAGAAAATAAAGTATTGAACTACTATAAGCATTTTGATGGTCAATAACAACACTTTTACAAAGTGTAGACTTTAGATTATTCGAAAATGAGGAATGAAGTCCCACGTACTATATTTACGTAGCCTCGACCTTCAAATGTCAAGAGGACCGCGAAGTCTCTGGGCCGTTCGAATATCCAATAACTTGAAATCTGACCAGAATAGCCTGCCTGATTTATTTGCATTTTCTTTGTTCCTTTTTGATAAAGTTACATATTTTAGATCATAAAGGCTGCTTTGAAGACCTCTTTCACAAACGCAATAGTTACAGTCAGTTCCGTAATAATAATAATAATATGAAAGGATATGTTTACTCTGTAATCTAAGTGTGTTCGTTTCAGAGAGTACTAGTTTATGAAAATAGGAGCTGAGATGTGCTTTTACGTAAAGTCTTTGTTCTTAAATGTCATTTGTTATCTAGGAAAGTTCTTCGGGTTGCTATTGATAGGCCGTTTGTCGTGGGACTAAAGAAATTAAATTTCCTCAATGTAGGAACTTCTTGTTGGACCATAAAAAAACACTTGTAAAACTCTTCAGATTCGAAAAGAATCAACGTCACCTACAGAGATTTACTGATAGCTCGAGAACTTTATCATTCCGTTAGTTTCATCAAAGCTTTTAACTAGAGGATTGAGATATTCTTGAAGTCGAATTTCAAAAGACAAAGATTTGTATGAAAAACCGGTTAATTTTTTGTGGAATAGACGCAGAATTGTTACAAACCTCGACTTTAGAGTTGACGTGTGTGTGTCGGCTAACGCTTCTGTGGGTTTGTAAATAGAAAGCTTTCCTTTATTGTATACATAACGAGTAATTATAACATACGTTGACTTAAATAAAAGTGTCATTAGGCGCAACTCAATTTCGTAAATGTGGCTTTTAGTTTAGCAACCAATCAGAATGGGGCGGGAATCATTATATCTGCCATCTTCGTAAGCAATGATGGTCGGCTTTCTTCATTCTGTGCTTTTTTCAGCTATTTCTTTTGTGTAGCTATGTAATCTAATGTTTACTTACTTACGACTGTTACCCCCAATGGAGCATAGGCCGCCGATCAGCATTCTCCAACCCACTCTGTCCTGGGTCTTCTTTTCTAGTTCCACCCAATTGTTGTTCATTTTTCTCATGTACGTCTCCATTTCTCAGCGTAATGTTTTCTTTCGTCTTCCTCTTCTCCTTTGACATTGAGGATTCCAAGTGAGGGCTTGTCTTGTGACGCAGTTGGGTGCTTTCCTCAATGTGTGTCCTATCCACTTCCAGTGCTTCTTCCTGATTTCTTCCTCCTCTTGAATCTGGTTTGTTCTCTCCCACAGGAGGTTGTTGCTAATAGTGTCCGGCCAACGGATCTGATGTATTTTGCGTAAACAACTGTTAATAAACACCTGTATTTTCTGGATGATGGCTTTCGTAGTTCTCCAGTTTTCCGCCCCATACAGTAGAACTGTCTTGACATTTGTATTGAAAATCCTGACCTTGGTGTTGGTTGACAGTTGCTTTG